AGGAATATTAAACTTAAAACCTTCTATACTTAATAACTATTCTTTTAATAGGCCTATAATATTATTTAATAGCTTATTTTAAAGAGGAGACTTCATTAGGAAAAGTTTTTCGAAATCCGGCCTAGACCGGCCGTTGCTGACAATCATGGCATGGTTGTGCAACGGCCGTTCAACAGCCCCAACGGCCCCAATTTGCGCCTAATGGCCCTAATTTTGCGCCAACGTTGCTAACAGCCAAAATGCTAAGTGCCTATATTCAACAAACTTAAAACAACGTTACAACGTCATTGTATAGCTACCCTTAGTGCTAGCACTAGTATTAAATATTCAAAAATTGTGAAATTTCACGTACAGATAGAGCGAAATTGTAGCTTCAAAATGAGCGAAAAATTATTATTGTTGTCAGATGCTCGTACTGTGAGCCAGAGTATGTGCTTAACGAGATCTTAGGTGGTATGATGATATATTGATGATCGTGGCGATGGTGTTTCTGCCGTGGCGTCGTGCTGGTTGCTACAGGATTGAAGTGGGGGGGAATTAGCGCTGTTCGCGGCCGCCGGTGTGCGGGCCAATCAGGAGTTGCCAGGTCTCGCTTAATCGACCTGGCAACTGCTGATTGGCTGCACGACAGGTCCCTGCTCGATTGCGCAGATCCGACCTCTCGCCGCTCGCTCTTATCTGACAATTGTAGGCCTACTACAACGCGAGTTATAGAGCGTTGAAGGTTTGTTTGTTGAAGGTTAGTGTTTTGAAGTTGCGACAGCACACCATAGCAGCTGCAGCTGCGCCCGCACACAACATAGCAGCTGCAACAGCATACAGCATAGCACCTGCTAACCAACACACACACACACACACACAGTAGCAGCGCAACAGGAGCTTGCAGGACAGGCAGGCCCAGGTGTAGAATTCTTGGTTTACCTACTATTCTTGAATAATATTCTTATATTTTCTAACATTCAGGCTGCTAGAGCCCTAGCAAAGAATCTTAACTTAGTGTCTTAGCAAGGAATATTAAGCTTAAAACCTTCTACACTTAATAACTAACGTAAACCCCCAGCACCCGGGCCAACCCAGCACCCGGGCCATTTCTTGCCAAGACCACAACTATTAATATTAACACGTAATGCCTCGCCAACAAGATGCACAATTATCTAAACAAGAGGGTAGAATTAATCTTGCCCTTTCTACTTTCTAATTACATAAATTTAAAAGCCTCTAAAGCGCTGCTTAGGCATTCAACATACTGCATACAACCTTAAGTGCTAGGTATAGAGGCAGACTCTATATTAATAATAGACGCAACGCACAACATAAGCTTACGCGCACTAAAGAGCAAATAATTGTACAATACATTCTTGACCTTAATTCGCGAGGATTCGCGCCCTGGCTGTGCGAGGTGGCAGATATGGCCGACAAACTGTTGGGTGTACGCGGTGGGCAGCCTGTTGGCAAGCACTGGGCTGAGCGCTTCGTGACGCGTTCAGCTACGCTCAAGATAGCCTTCAATCGAGCTAAAGATAGGCAGAGGATGCTGCAGGAGGATCTAGAGACAATCAGCGCGTGGTTTAAGCTAGTAGAGGACACAAAAGCTAAATACAGCGTACACAACCACAACGTGCACAACTTTAACAAGACTAGCTTCTAGATAGGTGTTATTGGCTTAATGAAGGTTGTCACAGGCGCAGAGAGACGTAATTAACCTCAGCTTGTTCAGCCAGGTGATCGCGAGTGGGTAACAGTCATCCAGAGCGTCTGCGCTGCTGGATCTTGTACCCCGCCTTTCATTATCTACAAAGGACGCGTTCACATCTCTGCCTGGTACGAGGAGGCAGATATACCACGCAATTGGAAGCTCTCCGTCTCCGAGAGCGGCTGGACGAACAACGCGCTCGGCCTTGAGTGGCTGAAGCACTTCGACGCGCATACAAAGGCGAGCCAGGTGGGGGCGTACAGGCTGCTCATTTTGGACGGCCATAAGAGCCACCTTAACCAGGATTTTAAGGACTACTGCCTCAAAAACATGATCCTTACCCTCTGCATGCCACCTCACTTATCACACATCCTCTAGCTGCTTAATGTAGTCTGCTTCTCGCTGTTGAAGCGCAAGTACTCTCAGCGCGTACAAGACTTGGCACGCAAGCGCGTCTTCTACATTAACAAAGAAGGCTTCCTCCCTGCCTTTAAGGACGCGTTTTTTAACGTGTTTACAGCAGAGAACTGTTGCAAGGCCTTTAAGGCAGCAGGGCTAGTCCCTCTTAACGCGCAGGTCGTGTTAGATCGCCTTAAAGTGCGCCTGCGTACCCCACTAGAACCCCTCCTCCTAGAGACGCTGTGGCAGTCAAAGACTCTAAGCAATACCTACAAGTTTAGATCTCAGTTAAAGCTTGTACGCGAGTCTTTTACTCAGTCGCCTATTACTGCGCAAGCAGGCTTCTCTCAGCTTGTTAGAGGCGGCGAGCTTATGCTGCATCAGAACGCGCTTCAAGCAGCCTAGATTACTGAGCTTAAAGAGCAATTAGCAGTAATGACTAAGCGGAAATCGCGCAAAAGGAAGCGGATCTAGCAAGGTAGTACTATGGAGTATGGTGAGGCAGCAGCTCAGGTGGCTGCAGAGGCCTCTGTAGCCGCTGAGCGGTCGAAGAAGGCTTGTGGTGGTGGTAATCAAGAACAAGCTCAACCAGCTCTACAGCGCTGTGGAAACTGTGGAGGGACTGGACACAACGCGCAAACGTGCAAAAAAGATATAGAGGCATATTCTAAATTAGATACGAGCACAGCGTACGCAGGCTCTATGTTAAATAGCGATGAAATTGAAGAGTTGTAACGTGAGTTGGTACTGCCAAGCTTTTTTGGCCCGGGTGCTGGGTTGGCCCGGGTGCTGGGGGTTTACGTTATTCTATTACTAGGCCTATAATGTTATTTAATAGCTTATTTTAAAGAGGAGACTTAGTAGTATATTAATATAATAAAAGTATAGTTTATTAAGCAGAGCTACTATTATAGCAGGATTAGGAGTTGTTGTGGCCATTGCAGCTGTTAGGACTATTAGAGCTGTTAGCTTAAAATTAGCTAGACATTAAATGCACATTAAATAACTGTTGTAGGCCTACAAGTCCTACTGTTGCCTACAGTACAATGCCACAATTTCCTGATTTCAACAACAGAAAAACTTTTCCCGATGTTAGTAGTATATTAATATAATAAAAGTATAGTTTATTAAGTAGAGCTACTATTATAGCAGGATTAGGAGTTGTTATAGCTATTACAGCTATTAGGACTATTAGAGCTATTAGCTTAAAATTAGCTAGACATTAAATACACATTAAATAACTATTATAGGCATATAAGTCCTACTATTGCCTATAGTACAATGCCACAATTTCCTGATTTCAACAACATAAAAACTTTTCCTAATGTAGTAAGCCTATGCTAGAATAGTACTAATATTATTACAAGACACAGGTTAGAGGTAGCCTTGCTATATGCCTTGGTGTCATTGGTCAGAGGTGGCTTTGCCACATGCCCGGCCTGACACCTAATATTATATGTAAAGTTATAAGACTTTGTTCTTATAATCTTTCTCTAGCATATTTTGTTCTTAGGTATAGCATTATGCTTATCTAAGCATTGTCATCATAATCTCCTAAAAGAGAGGATTAGAATGGTGTGCTTACGAAGCCTGTATCTCCTCTCCTTCTTAAGATATGTTGTTCTCTATTTTTAGTAACTAAAAATGTTCTAGATCCTCTGCTTACAAATAGAGTAGCCTACTTTGTCTGACGTATATGATTAGGCATGCACCTACGTAATCTTGCTTGCATATGCAGCAATACTAAGCATAGATTACTTAGTAGACCTACCTAGAGGATTCTAGAACGTTCTGCTTAGAAATACAGACAGAGGAGAGGAAGTATAAATACCTCTACCTCTTCCCCCCTCTATTTGCTCTGTACCTAGCCTAGGAATCTCTACCTAGTATCTAATTTAATAACTTGTCTATTATATTATATTATCCTACCTTACTACTATTAGGCTATACACTTCCTATTAAGACAAAGCTAGTCTAGATTTGTCTAGGTCCTCCTAGACTAGGAAGAAAGTAGTCTAGTCCTTCCCCTACTTTCTTTACATTAAGAAGGTCTTAAAGGGGGCAGTATCTCTAGCTTCACACAGTTTGAGATATTCAATTGCTTCTTGAGTTGGTTCCATGGTGGTGGAGTTATAGCGGGTTGAATATGAGACAGTTACATCACAATCATAGCGGGGTGGCTCGACCCGCGAACTGGCTAGTTTCGCGCGCAGGCACGGTACCATGTTTGCATGTTCTCATCACAGCTCTCTGATCATCCGTGTAGGGCTGCTTAAGTGGAATTCTGCAGGTATCTAATGCGAAGTATTCTGTAGCCTCCGACCATAATAGAATTCGATCGCCTTGTCAGCTGTGCAAAACATTCCCGTTCATCACAGATATTAAATATTGGTCAGGTCCACCATCTATGTGGAGCACCTGCGAACGCAAATCCGCTGCAGGTGCTCTGGGAAGCGATATTAGTATCAGATGCGGATAGCTCTATGCGACCTGATGTTGATGTGATAGGCGGATAGACGAGTGATGCGCCATGGTGTTCTTCAGGTGCGGAGGACCGTGCACGACCCCAACCACCCTTGCGAAATGGAAGGCGCACACCCAATCGTCAACAAGTGACGGACTTTTCGTCGAACACACCGCGCCAAAAACATCAGAGCAGAGCAAATACACCACACGATGATCGCTGATCACGGTCAGTGGCGCACTCCGGGATGCTGTCAAGTGGGTATTGTTGATCGGCCGGTTCTGTTGATCTATCATCCCTTCCCGCTGGCGGTTAAGTCTCTTAACTCACTGATATCTGCACGTTGCTTCGAGATCATCTTTTCTTGTTCCTCCTGTCTTGCAATCTGAGCCGGCTCTCATTGACTCCTTTTCTTTACTAGTGATTGACTTAATTTCGATTATCATGGCCTTCCACAAGCGCGAGCACTCCAAGGACATTACCGCAAGTGCATCACACGCCACACCGTTACCCACTTACTACTCACAACAACTGCCGCGATGGACCAGCAAGAGCGCATTCGAAAACCAGAGACCATCCAATACCAAGACTGAGACATTTGTCCCTTGCTACCCGCAATATGCGGCTCCCATGCCCATCCATATGCCCCGATTCGACGACGTTCCGCTGCCGCCTCGCCCTCAACTGCGACGGCTACCAAGAAAATCCATTCTGATACCCTGGATCCTTGCAGCTTCTTTCTTCCTCTTGACGTTTTTGCTGGCCTCCACCGCACTTGATGTACAGTTGTTTATGGCGTTACAACGGGCGCCGAGCAATCTGCCTGTACAGGAGATACGGATTATGATCAATGAGGATGTGCTTCGCGGCTCTGCATCTGCATACATATCGTTCGTCACATTGTCTGCGAGCGCAGCGAGACCTACGGCGATCGCAGATGCATCACCAGCGATACGTGACGGTAGCGCCGTTCCTACGACGACTACCACGACCGGCCAGCTGGATGCGGCGCCTACAGCCATTAATGATCCACCCGGGGAAGTCAATAAATTGATAACAGTTGCTCCAGTGCCAAGAAATGTGGGGACAAATCCCACTGGATTCATCAAAGTTGTCAAGATGGTGTAGCGGAGAACAGCTCCGACGCGTGGAGCGGGCGAAATACTCGAAGCATGTCAGGGAAAAGCAATCGTCGAATTCATGACAGCACGCTGGACTCTCCTCGCCCTGCACCTCAGGTTGTAACCAATATTCACACAAAAGTCGTTTTATTGCAGGCTTCAAACATTGTATGCCCAACATTCATCTTCTTGACGCAACCGAATGCATCGACAAAAGCAACACCAACGTCATTACGGCGCATACGAACGGGAACAGACTGCGAAGCGCTGCAGGAACCGGATCCTGGCTGCCGCCCGTGAAAGAAGTTTTGAAACAGCGCAGAGCGCTAAACAATGCAATGCTGGTCTCGCTAAGCCCCTTGTAGCGGGTTCCAAAACACTGACTTCCCCACCACTCAATCCACCCAATCTCGGCTGGCCACAACAAGGTCCTGGACCGCTGTCTCGCATGACAGATATCGCGACTACTCTGACATTGGTCAAGCCGCTGCCTCATCCAGATTATCAGGCGATTCGCTTCCTGCTCTACGGGGTCCACAGCAAGGAAAGCGGCAACGGCTGCTGTGAAGGATCCATGCGACTACCCTGTATATCGGAATTAATTGTTGCGGCTGGCAGATTGAAGAACTCTCGTCTTAGCCGGCAATATGGAGGCAGAAGTTTAAAGTCGTTGCAAGCCCAGGTGTACTCTGCTCTACCATTCTAACGGCCAGTCCTTCTTTCAGTTGCTTGCAACAGTCCATTCCTTATTTTCATTCATTACCTCACACTCTTTTCGTGATCCGGCATCACTGAGTCCATTGTTGTACATACTTCACGCAACGAGCTCCAACCGATCAACTTTCAAAATGTTCTCCAAAGCTATCATTGCTACCGCCCTTCTCGGCGTTGCGTCCGCTCACCAGAATCTCCACCAGTTTTGGGTCAACGATGAGACCCCCGGCTACCAGGTCGGCATCAGAATGCCTCCTTCCAACAGCCCCGTCACCGACGTAAAGTCGGACGACATGGCCTGCAACGTCGACGGTTCCAAGGTCCCCTCCGGTGTCGCGACCGTGCCCGCCGCTGAGGGCGACTCCATCAAAGTCCAGTGGGACTCCTCCGGCCACCCCGGCCCCATCACTCACTTCCTGTACGGACCCGTCGACGATGCTGCCCAGGCAACTGGTATCGGTGCCGGCTGGTTCAAGATCGATGAGCTGGACCAGGTCGATGGCAAGTGGGCCAACGAGATCATGCAGGCCGCCAACATGACCCACGAATTCAAGCTCCCTACTGGCCTCGCCAGCGGAGAGTACCTTCTCCGCTCTGAGATGCTTGCCCTCCATGGTGCTCAGACCGTTGGTGGTGCCCAGTTCTACATCGGTTGCGCCCAGCTCAAGATAACCGGTACCGGCAGCAAGGGCGCCTGCGGCCCCACCATCTCGCTCCCCGGCGCCTACAATGCTGAGGACGCTGACATCTACATCCCAAATGTCTACAACGGCTTCGACGCCTCGACCTACACCGCTCCCGGTGGCCCCGTTGCTACCTGTGGCGGCTCTGGCAACGCTTCTCCTGCACCCGCCACTTCTGCTGCGTCCAATGGCAGTGCCATCGCCACCCCTACTGTCTCTACTTCTTCTATCCTCTCGTCTGCCGTTGCCACCAGCGCCGTTGCTGAGGGGACCCCCGTCGCATCCAGCGCAGCTGCGTCTGCTCCTGTTGCTACGTCCTTTGCGCCTACCTCAGTCGCTGCTGAGACTCCTGTTGCCAGCGCGACTACCTCTACTCCTGCCTCGTCTGGTAGTGCTCTGCCTGAGGAGTTCACTCTTGAGACCTTCATTGCATGGCTCAAGGAGCAGGCTGCTTAGGTTTGGGAGCAGGCGGACTATTGTATGATTGAGGGGTGATGGATACATCTTCTTATACATACCTTTGGTTTGGAAATCTATCGATTGACTATTCTCCATATTGCCAGGTCGTGTGCTGTTGTCATGTCGTGCTTTGCTGTGAAGAACTGTGTGACTCAGTCCTCCCTTGTATGCGGTCCTTAATTTTCGATTGTACTATTGTTCTGAATACAGTATGCACGTATATGGAGGTTTAGATGTTCACCCAACTCCCACCCGTCTTCTTGCGAGCTTTCTATACACTCATAATCGACCTCTGACCTCATGTGGCCAGCTGTGGCTCCTCAGGCAACTCCCGGTCCGTCGTCTCCTGCCGACTCACCAACCGTCTTCTGCCCGCCCCGTACCTAGCTGGAAGATCCGACGCTATCTTCCCCTTATTTATAATCACCGTCCAGTCCAACTCGGAGGTTGGTTGGCCATTCTCAATGCTGAGGAAATACCTGGCGTTCGCAATGAGCAGGCATATAGTGGGCAGCACAGAGTGTCGCAAGGGACGATGCAAGATAGGCTGTAGGGTCGAGCAGTACTCTGGACCCACAGGTTCCGGAAAACAGTCGTTTGCTGCCCCGGCTGAGCTCGGCGTATGTAGCGAGGAAGGCTATGACACATAGCGGCATGCGATATCTCGTGCTTAAAATGTATTTCAGCTTTCGAAAGCATTGTGTGTAGATTTGCAGCTCGGCGCGGTGTGCAGAATGGGCAGTCTGCCGTGATACTATTCGAGCTCTGGCGATGTCTTGCTGGGGTTTTCTGGTATCAGCGAATCGGGCTGAGAGAAAAGACAGTTCTGCAGAAATTGCGCAACGTCCGAAGCTTAGCAGCCATACTAGTCAAAGTGTAACGGTTGAGAGGAGAAGCGGATCACGTGTTGTTGGCGGTGGTCTGGTGCTACTTCCTCATGTTGTTGAGCACCTCTTACCTTGGCTGCGTCACAGAGACGTCATCAAAACAAACCCCGCAGCGAGCCTTGGAGAACAAAGATACAAGCAACAACAACAACAACAACAACAACAGAACACAATACACTCATTATATACATTTGCTCTTCATACCGCAACACAAAGCCTAGGCCGCAGTCCTGGGGGCCTTCGAAGGCTGCTAGCAAGACCTGAACCACATTTAGGGTCACTTTGTGCTTGTCGAAATCGAGGCAGTCGAAGTTGTGATGTCTTGGCCGGTCTGTTCAAAAAGCGTACCTGTACTGAACGATAAAATTATGACGACCATATTTGGTCTTCGAATACGCTTTGGTACACGTACTCTGTGACTACAGTATGACTTCGATGCATTTCCCGAAGATGATAGGACTTGTCCGGTTGTAGTAATGAGCTCGTTGTCTGTGAAGAATGGTATCTGGCTCGTATCATGTCCTGCATATTCAACACTAATGCAGGGATCAACGCCAAAGACCTGTGTGCCTGTTGCTCTTGATTCCGCCACTTTGTTCCTTCTGCCTTCTGTAGGTAGTGTCTGGGTCTATCGTATCGCAGGTGGTGATGCAGGTGGTACTTCAAGTGATCCTGTAGGTGGTCCTGTTTGAAGTGCGAAGGGTTACTGCAATTTGCTAGCGGTAGCTGGATATTTGAATGTGAGCGAATCGGTTACTGCATGGACTTCCACCTCAGGGACCGAACTGGACACCCCCGGATCTGCTTCTTTCTTTCTCGCATTTGTAGCCTCAAACAGCCGGTCACGGAGAAAACTCAGTGGTTCGCTAGCTTCGAGCTCCTGTCGTTCGATCGATTCCAACGTGGGACGTGTACCCCTGCTCTTGTGCTACTTGTACAATACTGCTTACGTCCCCAAGCAAGTTGCAATTCCTTCCTGGTCCCCTCTAGGTGACCATCTCCAATGTCTCTAGTCGAGGGATGCTGTATAGTCTTGCCATTCTGTGGGGACGATAGGGCGGCTAAATCCCAAGCTGGCGCTGTGCTCACACTTCTCGAACTTAAGACTTTTGGAACAAGAAAGGCTGGTCCTGGGACTCGAGAGGCGGTGTAGTGGGCGTGTATTCGATGAAAGATTTCCCTAAGGCGGACGGAAGGTTGATGACTTATATCGCGCGTCTCTTCAACCCTCAAGGTTTGAAAGGGGTGACATTTCGTTACGATCGTCACCCGAGAACTGCTCTTGCGTGAAAAGCTGTGTTCAGCCTGATGGTAAAATGCCATTGTGCTGCCTTGCGACTCTGTCTCCATATTTGATAGGCTTGGGCGCCTCGTAGTCCAGATGGTCCTCAAGCGTCCACTCTTCCTGCAGGCGGATGTTGTTCCTTCTCTTTACATCTGCCATGCATCCCTACTCCACGCAACATTGGAACCCTTCATGTAGATTTCAATGTTTGATATGGTCTTCCTTGTGAAGTCTGATGAGCCCGTACCATGTGTCCTCGACTTTTGGTGGATTTTGGAATAGTCAAAAGGATGGGGTGTGATTGGCTGCAGAGGGAAATGAAGCGCTCGGCTTACATAGCCTGCTGATTAATCCTAACGTCATATTGCCGACTCCCCGAATCTGCTACGTTCAAACAGTTCAAACATCGCCATTGCCCAAACTCGAACTTATCGTCCAGCGAATCCACACATTCCTGATACAATGGCCTCGATAACAATGACGCACGTGGTCTTGCGCGGTCTTTCAAGAGCGACTCCCTCCATCCGTTCCTCAGCACCGCGCATCGCCACAAGATGTCTGCACCAGAAGTCGTCGCCAATTACGTCCACTCCAGCACAGCACCGACCAAGAGCACAGCGATGGAATCAGGGTGCTATATCGCCGTCTGCAACTATTACAAGGCGAACAATGTTTATACAGACCGAGCCCACACCAAACGCTGACGTACGGTTACCATAGCATTCCAGTAGTACCATAGCCCATGCTAACATTCCCAGGCCCTCAAATTCAACCCTAATATGCGCGTCCTACCCGAAACTATATCTTCAGGCTTCCTCGAATATGTCTCCCCCCGCTCAACTCTCGCACCGCCCCACCCCTCCCCGCTTGCCGCGCAGCTCATGAACATTGACGGCGTGACAAGCGTCTTCTTCGGCGTCGATTATATCACCGTCACAAAAGACTCCTCCACACCATGGGCGCACATCAAGCCCGAGGTCTTCGCAGTCATTAACGAAATATTGACCTCCGGCGCACCCGTCGTCAACACGGTTGAAGCCAAGGCTGGCGAGGAAGGGCAAGGAGGGTCTGAGGTTGACAGTTTAGCGTACGACGAGAACGACGACGAGGTCGTTGGCATGATCAAAGAGCTGCTCGAGACACGCATCCGGCCCGCGATCCAGGAAGACGGAGGCGACATCGACTTCCGGGGTTTCGTGGATGGGCAGGTGCTATTGAAGCTGCGCGGTGCATGCAGGACGTGCGACAGCAGCACCGTAACGCTGAAGAACGGCATCGAGAGCATGTTGATGCACTACATCGAGGAGGTCAAGGGTGTGCAACAGGTGCTTGATCAGGAGGAGGAGATCGCGATGAAGGAGTTTGAGAAGTTTGAGGAGAAACTGAGGCAGCAGAAGGGCAGCTTGCCTGCTGCAATGACCGGCAAGGGAAGCTTGGACGCCGTCGAGTAAAAGATGTAGAGTGCAAGAGAAGTCGGAGTAAAGATACCATAATGTTTGTCAGCATTGGAAAGTGAGCCTTTGCAGATGTATTCAACCAGATATACCCCACGTCCGGCTGGTCCATCATCGTACATCACAAGTCACTATATTTGAACCGTACGACGAACATCGAGCAACTCGTTCTCGTTCGAAAGGACCCGCAAAAGGAAAGTTGGGGGACTAACGTATTCCAAAGGCGAGCGCCGCACACGGGAGAGCGCCGCACCCCACCAAACTTACGCACCTTATTTAACGTCTAACTCAACAACGTTATAATAATGTATGTATTATTAATAGAGTAGATAAAGCAGTATCTTAAGTATCTACTTTGCACGTACGTGAGTTATGGCCAGTCTCTCTGCACCTCCTACAGCGCGCTAGAGCCTGGCGGCTAAGGCCTGATTGATCTCCTCCTTGACGCTGTTAACGAGCAATCTGCTGGTCAGCCTCACGTTAAGCGAGTAGATCCTCTCCAGCTCCCTTTGTTAAGACCCCACTCTGCTGTATACACTTTTTCTTACGCTGTTTGCGTGCTGACGCTGCCTTATTGGCTCTCTTAAGGCTGGTGATCTGATCACGCATCAGCTTAGCTGAGAGCATTATTACCTTAGCGCCCTTCTTAAGCTAGTTAATTGCTTTAATAATTAAGGCAGGTAACGTAGATTATCACTAAGCCGGCCATATCACCAAACCAGCCATTTTCTCTTAGCACAACTAACACAAGTTACTACAACTACAACTACTTACTATTAAATAGTGACCTAGTATACTACGTGCTTATATTAGATTTAGAAGATATTTCTGCACCCTCCTAGCACATTTGTGTGTTATGTCTAGTTTTGCTGTAGTTCCTACAGCGCTAAATAGTTGACTAAGCTCCTAGTTGACTACCTCTACCCTAAGTCTTCTTAGATAGCTGAGCTGCTACACACGCCTTAGCAGCTACCTGCGATGCTGCTAGGCCATACTCAAGTGTGCTACTATGCTGAATCTGCTTTCTCTTACGCAATTTTCTCTTAGTTATTACTGCTAATTGCTCTTCAAGCTCTTGTATATAGGCCTTAATAAGGATATTTTTATGCAGTATCTCTTTAGCCCCTTTTACAAGCTTTAAGAACCCCTCTTGTGCTATACTTAGTAATTATTAGAAGGAGTTACTTATAAGCTTAGATTAAGACCTAAACTTGTGTGTATTACTTAGCGTCTTAGATTGCTACAGCGTTTTAGGTAGAGGTACTACTAGTAGGGTATGTAGCTGCACTTTAAGGCAATCTAACACTACCTATATATTAGTAGGAATAAGCCCTAATACCTTAAAGGCCTTTTAGTAGTTAACCTTTATAAATATATTAAGGAATACGTCCCTAAAGGCTAGTAGGAAGCCTTCCTTATTAATATAGAAGATATATTAGTATACTAAGTCTTAAATATATTAGGAGTACTTACACTTTAATAGTAAGAAATAGACTATATTAAGTAGCTAGAGGATATATAATAAGTAAGGTAGTATATAGAGAGTAAGGATTTAGTTCTCTAGGTAATAGTCCTTAAACTCCTAGTTAAGATAGCTCTTATAGCTATCTAAGATAAGTAACCTATATACTCCTACCTAATATATCTTTATATATGTGTTAAAGTACTTTAACTACTTAAGGCTAAGTATATTATTTGTCTAACTATTCTTAGAGACTAAGAGCTTCTAATTGTAGGGTATATCTGTCTCCTTATACTAGGTAGAGATATGGACGCGTCCTTTGTAGATAATGAAAGGTGGGGTTGCATACCTAGTGGCGCAGATGCTCTAGATAACGGTAACCTACTCGCAATCACCTGGCTGAACAAGCTCTGGCTAAGCACGTCTCTCTAAGCCTGTTACAACCTTTAAAGACAAAGCAACACCTATCTAGAACCTAGTTTTATTAAAGTTGTGCACATTATTGTTATAAAACTATACTTAACTTAAGTATCCTCTACTAGCTTAAACTACACACTAATTATCTTAGAATCTTCCTATAGTATCCTCTATCTATCCTTAGCTTAATTAAAGGCCATTTTAAGCTTGTCTAAACGCGTTACAAGCCTGCTAGCCTATAGTTTGCTAACAGGCTCTTCACCACGCACACTAAGTATTGTATTAGCTATATCTGCCACCTTACATAGCTAGGGCGCAAATCCTTGCAAATTAAGGTTAAGTATATACTAGATAATTATCTGCTCCTCTAGTATAATAAGTTTCTAGCAATTAGCACGTATGTCTAGTTAAAATGTGATATTGCAAAGGCAATTAGAGACCTGCTAATAAGGTACGTTTAACGCTCTAGCAGCACTGTAGATACTGCAAAATTAGCTAACGTAATCGGCCATTGAGTCGGCCAGGCAATTGAGCCGGCCACCTTTGCCAAGATCACACCTCATTCCACCTCTCATCTAATGTCTCAACAACCTGATCTTAGATTACTTCCTTGTGAGGATAGGATAATCCTTGCTATCCAAGCTATGAAATCCAACGCGTCAATAAGCCAACAGCGCGCTGCTGCTATCTATGACGTTCCTCGATCAACCCTCTAAGACTGACGCGCCAAAACCACCTCACAACGCGATTCCCACCACGGCAGATCAAGGCTTACTAAGCCTGAAGAGGAGGTGGTTATACAATACATAAGGAAGCTTGACGCGCGAGGCTTTGCCCCTACGCTAAGCTACGTACGTGAAATGGCTAATCAACTGCTAGCTGCCCATGGTGGTAGTAAGGTTGGAGAAAAATGGGCCAGGCACCTTGTAAACCGGAAGCCTGAGATCAAGTCTCAGGTAACCAGACAGCGCGATCAC